ACGAGTCCCTCGTACCTACACAAAAACAATAGCTCAACGCAACCAACGCGCTTAGGGGTTGTCAATCCCTTCACGGTCACTTACGAAAGTGAGATCTGATAGAGATGACAAATAATATTTTTGGTATTTTTGGTATAGAGATGCAAAGTGAAAAGTAAAAGGCAAAGTAAAAAAGCAAAGCAATAATAAAGCGATGGAGATTGATATGATGAGAAAGAGACCTGGGGGCCATAGGTTTCACTAGTGGCTTCTCTCAAGAGCATAAGTATTCTACGGTGGGTGAACAAATTACTGTTGAGCAATTGACAGAATTGAGCATAGTTATGAGAATATCTAGGTATGATCATGTATATAGGCATCACGTCTGAGACAAGTAAACCGACTCCTGCCTGCATCTACTACTATTACTCCACTCATCGACCGCTATCCAACATGCATCTAGAGTATTAAGTTAAAAACAGAGTAACGCCTTAAGCAAGATGACATGATGTAGAGGGATAGTTTCATGCAATATGATAAAAAACCCATCTTGTTATCCTCGATGGCAACAATACAATACGCGCATTGCTGCCCCTTCTATCACTGGGAAAGGACACCGCAAGATCGAACCCAAAGCTAAGCACTTCTCCCATGGCAAGAAAACCCAATCTAGTAGTCCAAACCAAACTGATAATTCGAAGAGACTTGCAAAGATAACCAATCATACATAAAAGAATTCAGAGAAGATTGAAATATTATTCATAGATAGACTGGATCATAAACCCACAATTCATCGATCTCAACAAACACATCGCATAAAGAAGATTACATCGAATAGATCTCCACGAGAGAGGGGGAGAACATTGTATTGAGATCCGAAAAGAGAGAAGAAGCCATCTAGCTACTAACTATGGACCCGTAGGTCTAAAGTAAACTACTCACACTTCATCGGAGGGGCTTGGATGATGACATAGAAGCCCTCCGTGATTGATGCCCCTCCGGTGGAGCTCCGGAACAGGCCCCAAGATGGGATCTCGTGGATACAAAAAGTTGCGGCGGTGGAATTAGGTTTTTGGCTCCATCCCCGATCATTTGGGGTATGTAGGTATATATAGGAGGAAGGCGTACGTCGGTGGAGCTTCGAGGGTCCCACGAGGCAGGGGGGCGCGCCCTAGGGGGGGTGCCCTCCACCCTCGTGACCGCCTCTGGCTTTCTTGACGGAGGGTCCAAGTCTCCTGGGTCTTATCTGATGAGAAAATCATGTTCTCGAAGGTTTCATTCCGTCTGGACTCCGTTTGATATTCTGTTTGTCCAAAACATTGAAATAGGCAAAAAACAACAATTCTGGGCTGGGCCTCCGGTTAATAGGTTAGTCCCAAAAATAATATAAAAGTGGAAAATAAAGCCCAATATGGTCCAAAACAGTAGATAATGTAGCATGGAGCAATAAAAAATTATAGATACATTGGAGAGGTATCAGAGACTGAAGGAAATATGCCCTAGAGGCAATAATGAAGTTATTTTTTATTTCCTTATATCATGATAAATGTTTATTATTCATGCTAGAATTGTATTAACCGGAAACATGATACATGTGTGAATACATAGACAAACAGAGTGTCACTAGTATGCCTCTACTTGACTAGCTCATTTATGAAAGATGGTTATGTTTCCTAACCATAGACATGAGTTGTCATTTGATTAACGGGGTCACATCATTAGGAGAATGATGTGATTGACTTGACCCATTCCGTTAGCTTAGCACTTGATCGTTTAGTATGTTGCTATTGCTTTCGTCTTGTGGAACACTTTGTGTGCTACCAAACGTCACAACGTAACTGGGTGATTATAAAGGTGCTCTACAGGTGTCTCCGAAGGTACTTGTTGAGTTGGCATATTTTGAGATTAGGATTTGTCACTCCGATTGTCAGAGAGGTATCTCTGGGCCCACTCGGTAATGCACATCACTATAAGCCTTGCAAGCATTATAACTAATGAGTTAGTTACGGGATGATGTATTATGGAACGAGTAAAGAGACTTGCCGGTAACGAGATTGAATTGGGTATTGAGATACCGACGATCGAATCTCGGGCAAGTAACATACCGATGACAAAGGGAACAACGTATGTTGTTATGCGGTTTGACCGATAAAGATCTTCGTAGAATATGTAGGAACCAATATGAGCATCCAGGTTCCGCTATTGGTTATTGACCGGAGACGTGTCTCGGTCATGTCTACATAGTTCTCGAACCCGTAGGGTCCGCACGCTTAAAGTTCGGTGATGATCGGTATTATGAGTTTTTGTGTTTTGATGTACCGAAGGTAGTTCGGAGTCCCGGATATGATCACGGACATGACGAGGAGTCTTGAAATGGTCGAGACGTAAAACTCGATATATTGGACGACTATATTTGGATACCGGAATGGTTTCGGGTGAGATCGAGAATATATCGGAGCACCGGGAGGTTATCGGAACCCCCCGGGAGGTATATGGGCCTTATTGGGCTTTAGTGGAAAGGAGGGGAAAGGAGCAAGGGAGGTGGCACGCCCCCCATGCCCAATCTGAATTGGGAGGGGGGCCGGCCCCCCCTTTCCTTCTCCCTCCTTCCTCTTCCTTCCCTCTCCTACTCCAAGTTGGAAAGGGGGGAATCCTACTCCCAGTGGGAGTAGGACTCCCCTTGGCGCGCCTCTCCCTGGCCGGCCGCCTCCTCCCCCTTGCTCCTTAATATATGGGGGCAGGGGCACCCCATAGACACAACAATTGATCATTGATCTCTTAGCCGTGTGCGGTGCCCCCTCCACCATAATCCACCTCGATCATATCGTAGCGGTGCTTAGGCGAAGCCCTGCGTCGGTAGCATCATCATCACTGTCACCACGTCGTCGTGCTGACGAAACTCTCCTGTGAAGCTTTGCCAGATCGGAGCTCGCGGGACGTCATCGAGTTGAACGTGTGCAGAACTCGAAGGTGCCGTGCATTTGGTACTTGGATCGATCGGATCGTGAAAACATACGACTACATCAACCGCGTTGTGCTAATGCTTCCGCATTTGGTCTACGAGGGTACGTAGACACACTCTCCCCTCTTGTTGCTACGCATCACCATGATTCTGTGTGTGCGTAGGAAATTTTTGAAATTACTACGTTCCCCAACAAATAGCATACGGCGGATACACAAATTATTGTTGGGAAATTGACAAAAAAATAAATAATTATGACGACATCCAAGGCAATGATCATGTATATAGGCATCACGTTCAAGATTAGTAGACCGAAACGATTCTGCATATACTACTATTATTCCACACATCGACCGCTATCCAGCATGCATCTAGTGTATTAAGTTCATCGAAAAATGGAGTAATGCAATAAGAACGATGACATGATGTATACAAGATAAACACACGTATGAATAAACCCCATCTTATTACCCTTGATAGCAATGATACACGTGTGTCATGTCTCTTTTCTATCACTGAGATTGAGCACCGCAAGATCGAACCCATCACAAAGCACCTCTTTCCATGGCAAGAAAAATCAATTTAGTTGGCCAAACCAAACCAATAATTCAGAGAAGAAATATGAAACTATAACAATTATGCATAAAAGAGTTCAGCAAAGACTCAAATAATATTCATGGATAGATTTGATCATAAACTCACAATTCATCAGATCCCAACAAGCACACCGTAAAAAAGAGTTATATCAAATAGATTTCCAAGAACATCAAGGAGAACATTATATTGAAGATCAAAAAGAGAGAAGAAGCCATCTAGCTACTAGCTACGGACCCTAGGTCTGTGGTAAAGTACTCACGCATCATCGGAGGGGCAAGAAGGACGATGAAGAACCCCTTCGTGATCGTTGCCCCCTCCAACAGAGTGCCGCAAAAGGCCTCTGGATTGGATCTCATGGTTCTGGAACTTGCGGCGGGTGGAAAAGTGTTTCGTTGACTCCCCTAGGGTTTTTGGAATTTTGGAGTATTTATAGAGGTGGAGGTAGGTCAACAAGGTCCCCGTGGGCCCCACTACCCACCAGGGCACGCCGGAGGCCCCTGGCGCGCCCTGGTGTCTAGTGCCCCCCACGGGCCTCCTCCCGTGTGCTCCAAAAGCTTCCAGGGTGATATAAGACCCTGGAAGCTCGGTCTGGTGACGTATCAGCTAATGAACAAATATCGATATGTTGGAGACGTATCAGCTGCCGAGAGGTCACGTTGGTCAGCGCCGCCTTCCCTCCCTCTGGTCACATCGCGACATCAGTGCCGACCTCCACGTGCTCTGGGCCGGCATGAATGCGACACGGTAAGCGGTGTGTGCATCAGAAGGAAAGCGCGGGAGGGGCAGTGAGGGTTTTTGATGAGCCAGGGCGGTCAGAAGCGGGCATGGGATCGGTCCGAACTCCCGCAAAGCCCCCTCCCTCACTTGTCTCCGGTTTGCGGGAGAAATCGCGTCCGGACCGCTCCGTGGACCGATACATTCTCGCGTTGGATGAATTCCGTGGTTCAGACAGATGCGAGCGGTTTGCGGGTTCGCCTTGGAGATGTCCTAATAACTCAACGAAATTTAAAGAGGTTGTTAGATCTATTGTGGGAAGGGTCGACGATGCTCGACAACCTTTCCACTAGGGTCTAAAAACCCTGATAGGCACTTGGTGAACACTTAGTCACTCAACTATGTATGTTACCAATATCGAAATCAATCTAAAGACTTGGATGCACTTTCATGAACATTTGAGCCCTTGACTTTACACAAACAAATTAGGGCACTAAATTTTGGGCAGTATGAGTAGTATGCTAGGGTTGAGCGTCAGATAGGCGCCTAGCGCTCGGTGAAGCCCCAAAACCCTCCTCCCCCCTCTGGCGCGAGAGGCCGCCCTCAATCCCCCCCTCACTGCCAAGTTCCCGCCAGTCTCCTCCATTCCCCTCCCCACCTCTCCCAAATCCAATCTCCAAATCCTCATCTCCCTCCCCATCTCTCTCGTCGGCGGCGAGGCGGCCCAAAGGGGGGAAGAGGGGCGAAGATGCTGTGGGTGGACAAGCACCGGCCGAAAACCCTAGACAAGGTCATCGTCCATGAGCAGGTCGCGCAGAACCTCAAGAAATTCGTAAGAACCCGCGACCCGCCCCTCCTAAAATCACTCTCCTAGGGTCTCCCCCGCCTCCTTGTGTGCTGATCTGTTCTGTCGGTGTCCGTTTGGTTCAGGTGGCGGAGCAGGACTGCCCGCACCTGCTCTTCTATGGCCCGCCGGGGTCCGGCAAGAAAACCCTAATCATGGCGCTCATCAAGCAGATGTTCGGCGCCGGTGTGGAGAAGGTAGTTCCTTCTCTTCAGGATAAATCTTTGAAGATCTAGATTTTTTTACCTTTTTTTTTTTTTGCCCGTGGCCGGGGTGTTTATTTTTCTGCTGACATTTTCGTGCATTTTGATGGCCCCGTTGCAGGTGAAGATGGAGAATAAGACTTGGAAGATCGATGTGAGTCGTGGCCCTTCTTTCAGCCCATCTCTGTCTTTCCTTGTTATTGTCACTATTATTGCAATGTTGCGATGTGTCATTGAAGAATTGACAGAAAGTAGTATGCAAATAAAAAGTTATGCGGTTGTCACTACATGTGTCATGCATACAGGGAGTCTTTCTTTTTCAGTTTGTGCTATTGGTGAACATAGCACTGATCCACCATGATATGAAACAAAGCATTTGCCATTTCTCTGTATGTCGATAGCTTATTAGTGTTCTGTGGCATTACCTAAGTTGTCAATTTGGGATAGCTATGAATATGTCTGAGAGTTTGATGTGCAATTTCCTTTGTACAGACCGGGACGAGGACATTTGATCTAGAGCTGGCGATGTTGTCAAGTTCCCACCATTTGGAAATGAACCCCAGCGATGCTGGCTTTCAGGACAGGTATGTTGTTCAGGAGGTTATCAAAGAGATGGCCAAGAGTAGGCCGATTGATGCCAAGGGCAAGAGAGCATTTAAAGGTTGGTACTTCTTCTGATTTTGTTCTTATAACTCTCTAGTTCCAAATATTGTTGTCTTACAAAGAAGTTGCCACTAGCTTTTCTTCCCCTGGCACCATTGTCTATTGCATCCTGTAATGATGAATCATCTCTATATAGCATGAAGTTGTCTTATACAATGCTAGATGATTTACTCGTTACTACCTCCGTTGCTTAATATAAGACGTTTTTGCAGTTCAAATTGAACTGCAAAAATGTCTTATATTAAGGGACGGAGGTAGTACTTTTCAGTGGATGATTTCAACAAGTGCATAAACAGATGATGCTATGCAAAGTGACCATGCCACTTGCTTAGGCTGTATGCTTGCTTTATTTAAAAACAAATTCCTCATTCAACATAAACTTAAACATACTTTGTATATTTGCAGTGCTTGTCCTAAATGAAGTTGACAAGCTGTCACGAGAAGCACAACATTCCCTCCGTAGGACAATGGAGAAATACAGTGCATCGTGTAGACTCATATTATGCTGTAATAGCTCCTCAAAGGTGACAGAAGCTGTAAGGTCCCGTTGCTTGAATGTGCGAGTGAATGCACCTACCGAAGATCAGGTTAGTAATGGATATTTGATGCCATTTTTACTGCAACTAGTGTCAGTTGTGGATCTTTGGCTTGATTTCATGGTCGGTGCTACTATGTCTAATAGGGTGTTCAAAACTTGCATGGGTTCCTTTGCTTCTGAGTTTGGTAATTAGTTCAGTTATGGTAAATTGAGCTTTATTCATTTTCATAAGTGTTGTGAATTGAATCTGTAAAGTCGGGACTTTACCAGGGTTGTTTGAACTGCTCTATGTAAGGTTTGAATCTATGCTTTTATCAGTTTATTTGTACCATGTTCACAGCAAGGAAATGGTAGTGAAATTTTTAACTGTGCTCCAACCTCATTATTCTATGTATAGTTGAAGAAGTTATGCATACTGCACCCCTAAACCTTGCCCATTTGCAGATTGTACAAGTACTGGAATTCATTGGGAAGAAAGAGAATCTGCAACTTCCATTTGGATTTGCTGCTTGGATAGCAGCTCAATCAAACCGCAACTTGAGGCGAGCAATATTATTTTTTGAGACATGCAAAGTCCAGCAGTAAGCCCGACTGCTACCTTTAATTGTTACTGCAGTTCTGTTAATGTTGGTTGTGCTGTGTCCCTAGTTTTATATTTGTATCATGTATCTCACTGTTTACGCCCTTTAGTTTTTACATTTATCTGGTTTTCCCTTAAGTTTTTTTCTTCTGTTTCTATATTGCAGATATCCATTTTCAGCAAATCAAGTGGCGCCTCCTCTTGACTGGGAGCAGTATGTGTCTGAAATAGCAACTGAAATCTTGAGTGAACAAAGCCCTAAAAGGTCTGTCGTGTTTCATTTCCAACTTCTATTGAGCTGCAGTCCCTAATGTTTGCCTTTTCCTTTCATTTCCTGTTTACATGTTTTCATTTTTCATTTTTAGTCACCACATATTTGTTTTCCTTTTTTCTGTAAAGATACTATTACATTATTGTTCTCCCTCGAGCCCTCTTTTCATGCATCATAATGGCTCCCGGCCATCAGTGGATACCCATTGTAGAATTATTAGGAAGATCTTCAGAATTGAAGAGATTTCGTAACCTACATGCGGCCAGCAGCCAGCACTGATGTCATGAGATGTCTTGTACTTTACTTATTTAATCTAATAGGCGTGGTAATGGATCTGCATCTGCTTGGAATGTTATATTTTCGTCTTGTGTCACACCATATGGAAGCGACATCTGCTATTTTTGGTGGTTCACCATCTGTTACGCACTTTTGTTCTTCACAATATCTGTTTATTAATTTTCCTTACATAGTGAGTCATCTAAGACATTTTCTGGTTTCGCTTTGATTTGACTTTGAATAGTAAAATTAATATTTCAGGCTATATTCTGTACGCCAGAAATTCTATGAGTTACTTGTGAATTGTATCCCACCTGAAAGCATCTTGAAGGTGACACAATGCTTCTATTGCTGCTTTACCTTCATTTTTCGATGACCTTTAATGTGGGTGCAAGTTAAACTTGTTTTTGACAATTGCAGAAGTTGTTAACCGAGTTAATGAAGAAGTTAGACTCTGATTTGAAGCATGAAGTTTGTCGCTGGGCTGCACACTATGTGAGTAATTGTTATGCTAACATTTTTTCCCAGCTCCCAGCCAATTTAGTTTCATATGTTCTTTGTAACGTAGGAGTACAGTAGACTTTTCATGTTCTATCTCCACTAATGTCACATAGTACTAGCTCTACCTCTTAGTTCTATGGCCTTAATTTTGTATTTTCTTCCTTATTGATGCTTATTTTCATTCTTGTGATAAATCTGCTTGTTAAGCTCTGGTGTCATGTCTTTGGCAGGAACACAAGATGCGACTTGGGTCAAAGGCCATTTTTCATCTGGAAGGTACATCTTGTGCACCTTTTAGAAACTGGTGTGTTGTGCATAATGTTGTCAGGTTTCTTGTTGGTCTAGCGTGTGCATATTTGTATTGTACCAATAGTTTGACTTATCTGATTATTATCGGCATAAATGGACCTAGCTATGTCTTCTCACAATACGATTTGATGGCACCACGTAATAAGTAAAAACCATAGATTTGGTTGCACTATTAAAAATATAGGTCTTGTTTCAAAGAGAGACAAGTTAATAGAAACTTTCCCTCAAAATGTAGTGGAATACAATCCTACAAATTGAACCAGCAACATATGAAAAACTCCTTACAATCCTCCACAGTTCTTAAGGAAATCCTTTGGATCAGAGATGCCCTTAATCTGGCATATATATACCTCATGATCTGTGTACATTGTATTTCAATATTTTGGGTGGCTACCATTGTGGCGGCACTAGCCTAGTTGGTACTCAAAAACTGATCCCTGACTCGTCTGCACCCATGTTTTGCTACTGTTTCTGCAGCTTTCGTGGCCAAGTTCATGAGCATTTACAAGGAGTTCCTTTGTGCCGCATTTGGTTGAGCAAAACCAGAGCATACGGATGTTTGCCGCTGCAAGAAGATGCTCCTAGTTCGCAGTCTCTGTCGTCGCAATCGCTTTGGTCTGATGTGTGGGCGCTTACATTTTGTATGTTACTCAGTCAGTGTAGTTTGTACTGAATTCATGTGAGCAAGTACTTATTTACTTTGAATCATTTGCTACTGAAAGGTGGAGTCGCCCACCTATGATCGTCTTGATTTTGTTCTGCCTTGTCCTTGGACGTCAAACGAATTTCAGCATCTCATCCTATAAATGCCAACAGGGTGCTAAACGATATCACTACCTCCTTTCTGGTTATAGAAGGCTTACACGTACATATTATAAGTTATATGAGTATATCATAAATATTATAGCATTAGAAATTTGAAATATTATAATTCCTAATGGTATAACTGTTCTGATATGTGCTAGAGATACCTATAAATAAGAAACGGAATTGCTAAATCTCAGTTGACTGAGACTTAATCAAGTCTCAATTGATACTATATTCTTTTTTATATGTTCTATCATTTGACTAAGATTTGGAGCCATGCCCAATTAGAAAGGAGGGAGTAAATCGCAACAATGATTAAATACTTAAACAGCCAAGCGCTTTTTAACAACATCAATGTATTCCATTTACAGGTAATACTTGATGCATTTGTAAATGTAAATACAAGGGCCTGTCTATACACATGTATTAATTCAAAATATTCTCAGAAGAGTTGTGCTAGTATGTGTTTTAGTTCATGTTGGCGTGCACAAATGTGTCAGATTTGTATAAAAAAGGAAGGGAGGATAATGATAAGCCTTTACGTTCAAAAATGTGATTCTTACAATGTTATCTTTTGCTTTTTCAGACTTAACTAGTTCTACTTATTCTGAAATCACTATGGAATTCTAACACAGAAAAGTACTCCCTCCGTCCAAAGGAATTTTGGCAACACCATTCATCTGACCCAGAGTGTTTATTAGAAATTCTCCTAAGAAATACTGTATAATCTTTAGAAGAATACTATGAACATCATACAATCCAAATACTCCCTCCGTTCCTAAATACTTGTCTTTCTAGGCATTTCAACAAGTGACTACATACAGAGCAAAATGAGTGAATGTACACTCTAAAATATGTCTACATACATCCGTATGTAGTAGTCATTTGAAATGTCTAGAAAAACAAATATTTAGGAACGGAGGGAGTAGTATTCTGCGAGACCGAGTTAGCGTGGCCAGTCTCAGTTGTTCACCTCATCACCTGACGTAGTGGCTCCGCTTGATAAAGGCAAGCTTATTAACAGTTAAGCGAAGCAAAGTTCTCTTTTAAAAGAAGAAGGTAAATTATCCAACAAAACGGTTATGAACGAAGAAGGTAGTACAACAGAGCGGATGCTATTATTATTACAAGAAGATCTGTCACAAAATCAAATGACTGTTACGAATTTATACAGCAGCGACTGCTCGCTAACACATACAGGTCAGTGCTTGCTGGCGGCGGCGGCGTTAGACCCTGGGCCTCACCCTGCGCCCGCTGGTGTCGCCGCCATCCGAGATCTGGCCCCACACGCTCTGGCTCTTGCCCCCGCTGCTGCATTCCTCCTCGCACCCGGCTACTGTCCGGAGGATCTCTGACTGTAGCGCCGGGCAGTTGTCTTTGAGGTAATCGAATCCGTCGGTCCGGATTACAGCTGCAGATACATAAGGGCATCTGGAATGTTATACAGTTCAGGACGCTTGTTTGGGCACCACCAAGAAACAAACAGTAGAAACATATGCAAAGGCAGTCTACAAGTACTCCCTCCGGTCCTTTTTACTCTGCATATTAGAATTCTCTGAAGTCAAACTTCACAAAGTTGAAGTTTGACCGTATTTATATGAAAAAATATCAACATCTGCCATGCTAAAGTTATACAATATGAAACTTTAAGCCATGACACATCTATTGATATTGATTTCAAATTGTGAATGTTGGTACTTTTTTCTATAAAGTTGGTCAAACTTTACGAGGCTTGACTTCAGTCAAATCTTATATGCGAACTAAAAAGGACCGGAGGGAGTACCATAAAAAAGCAGTACACATTAAATTACTGACGTTATAGGATATCTCGGATGAAAATATTGTCAAATTGAGAGCATGACACACAAATGAAAATTAAAATGCTTTGAGCCAACTACTGTAGCTTGCTGTCTGATTGGCATAATGGGAGATTCAAAACGTTGCCGTCATCAGGCTAACATTGTGCCCTCAGCACAAAAAGATACATGTATCTGTATTACTAAGTGGTACATCTTCTGTTCTAACTATTGCTACAAACAAAGGCATCATATGGGCCACTGTTCCTTTCCATGAGTATGCATAAGGGTGTATACTTGTGGAAACAAATGGCAGCATGCTGTTTCATACACCACCTTTTGGACGCAAACTGGAAACTACCGACAGGAGTTCTCAAGCAGATATGAATATAACTGCAATTATCCGATAACTACATAGGACGAGCACATCGAATTGCATCGCTTGTTAAGCCTTATTACCTGAAAGGTTCTCAGCAGCAAATTTTAGGCAGACGGACTTGAGCTCTGTAGCATGATGCCGATCAGCCAGCGCTAGAGTAGTTGCCACAGATTTTACAGAAATCTGTTTGCACAAGTAAGATTCACATAACACTCTTAGCCTTGGCAACTCATATTTGTCTGCTGCAGCCAACAATTTCCCAGCTAAAGTATCAAAGATGGGACAATCTGAGCTTGATGCAGACAATTCGTCATCACCAACAAGATTGTCCCTGTACATGAAGTGAAGCACAGCCTACAACATAGAGTATTTGCATAAGATAATAAGATATAAATCAAGCTTGTTAAACTGCGAAATCCAAAGAATAAGATCAGCATAGAAGAAACATACCTGAAATACTTTTGGCTCCATGTCATCGATGACAATCTCTTTGATTTCGTTACTTGTGTCGACTTCACTGTTTTCTTCATCTGATTCAGGATCAAGAAATTCAGATCTAAAAAAAGAAGATCGGGCAGCCAACACTAACTTATGAGCATGAAACTTCTCTCCTGCTACACTAAAAATAACATCTGCACCCTCTTGAGAGTCCAAAAGCGTCCCAAAATGGTAGCCTATGTCAGAATCCGGAACCTCTAGAGAATGTGGCCTAGAGTATTCCATGGTTGATGTTACAACGCCCACAGTACAATTTATCTTCAAGCAATCGTCTTTAAGAAAGTCCGATGTCTCAAGAGCAGTACGTCGAAAAAACCTTTTATAACCCCTGAAAACAGAAATTAAGATTAAAAACCAATTTCAGAAAAAATATTTACATTTTTACTACTTGAAACCCTTCGCATTTTAAAAAAAATCATTAACATGACCAGTCGTGTTCACACAAATTTCTATAATCAATTTACCAGGTGTGTGTTCCCACAAACTTTTATAATCAATTTACCAGGTGTGCACAAAGTTGCTAATCTCGCACTCTTTTATACAGTAGGCCATATCTATATCTATACCTACAAGTTCTCTAGCTGCTCCCAGCTTAACCTAAAGTTACTAGAAATTTTCTGATTGATCTCATTCATTGGATCTAACACCTAAAATGACACTGTAGATCTACAAGTATGTTGATCAATTAAAATAATTATATGAAATGTTCAAACAGAGGCTGATGGAAGTATGTAAAGCAAACACATTAACCAGGTAAATATCTCTGCTGAAGGATGTGTTGAGAATATCATGACAAGAGGATATCCAAATAAAACAGTCCTCCCAGATAATGTGTTTGGCAAGGAATTTAGGGTGGTACTAGTTAATTAAACATGGTTAATTTGGGGTTGCAGTCCAATGGGTTGGACAAGTAGTTAACACTAATTCGTACACCAAATCCTAATCAGTGCACTCCCAAGGAGAAACAGGCCCACAGCACAACCAAAATAACTCCTAACCGTAGCCAATTAGTAATCGACTAGTTATTGGTGCAGTGTCAGAATCAGCACCTGGCTACCTACAAAATAAGGCGAGAACCATGCCAACAGACCTAAATCGGTAGAATCACATCAGATAGTTATGAGTTGTGATCGAGGCTCATCATACATTAGGCGTAGCTACTGACCAATTGCTTTAAAATGAAAGCCAAATCGCAAGGCAACGGGAGCAGGAGACCTCGTAAGGGCCGTGATCCCCGAGAGAAAGCGATTGCGGTGGGAAGGTAAGGCTGGATGAGCATACCACATGGATCCGCGGTACTTGAGGGTGTAGGGCCCGGCGTCGAGGGCGCGGTCGAAGTGGGAGTGCACCTTGTGCTTGCCCCGGCCGCTCTGGTCCTGGAGGGTGAGCTCGAAGAGGGCGCGGACGTCGGTGCCCTCGGAGGCGAGCGCGATGAAGACGGAGACGTAGGCGGAGTTGTCCTCGGGGTTCTTCCCGTCCGGGTAGAAGTAGATCGCCCACTGGTAGCCGCCCACGGCGAAGGTCTCGCTGGCGATGTGCTTGCCCACGCCCATGCCCTTGGCGAGGGAGTAGCCCTGGATCACGAACCGGTGCGACCCGTTCACCGTCTCCGTCACCGACCGCGAGCTCGTCGGCGAGGCCGCCGCGGCGTCCCGCGCGGGCGCCGTCGCCCCCGCCCCGCGCTCGATCACCACCGCCCCGCCCCCGCCCTCGTGCTGCGGGGACGCGTCGCCGCCGCCCCCGGCGTCGTCGTCGTCCATGCGGGAGGGTGGGAGGCTAGGGTTGGCGGGCGGAGGAGGGAGGGGATTGGGGATTTCGTGGCTTGGCGCTCAGCTGCTACAGCACGCGGGGGAAACGAGGGAGGGAGGAGGGTGCGGTGGGTGGAGCGAGCGAGAGAGAGAGAGGGTGAAACGAGGGAGGGAGGGAACCGCCGGGAAGGTAACAAATTAACCAACTGTTTCGGCCTGTGAGTGACGCATTCATGCTGTGGCGCCTGATTTTTTTTGTTGGAGAAGTATCTGGTGATACCACCATTTCATGCTCCCATTTTTAAAAA